AAATGGAAGGAGGCAGCCATTGGTGATGTGGTGAGTGGGTTGCTGGATGTCTGACCTCATTGCTCCTCCCCAACAGGTGTCCAAGGGGTGCTGGGCAGTGCCGGGTACATTGAGGTCGGCAGCCATGCACATGGTGAGTGCTGGCCAGGGGGTGACGTGCCCCCTTCCTTCAGCACCCTCTTTTTCAGTTCTTTTTATCCAAAGTAAACTTTGCCACTAAAAATGTCTTCAGAGATAGAGCTCCACAAATCCCATGCTCTTTCCCCCAACCACAGGCACACATGGGCTTTGGCGTGCAGATTCTAGCTCATTTTAGCTGTGAAGAGGCAACTTTGTTTCCTTTTTTTTTTTTTGAGACTCCATTTATGTTCCAGATGGTGAAGTGCTAGATAAGCAACCTGCAGATGGATAAGTGAGGCCCACCATTCATCACACACCGATAATGCCGACACCTCACAGTCCCCACCTCTTAACAAAGGCAACACCAAAGCAATAACAATGAAAATGCACTTGCTCCAATAGTCAACCGCTCCCCAGACTTCCCCTCCAAACTGGATCCCTTCCTTTCTATACTTTCCTAATGGATACATTAGGGGCATTATCAGAAATACTCATTTCTTAGGGAGGCATAGTGGCGCACACCTGTAATTCCAGCTACTCGGGAGGCCTAGGTACAAGGATTCCAAGTTTGAGGTCAGCCTCAGCAACTTAGTGAGACCCTGTCTCAAAATAAAATAAAAACAGGGCTGGGGAATGTGGTCGGTGGTAGGGCACTTGCCTAGCAAGCACAAGGCTCTGGGTTCAATCCCAGTACCCAAACACCAATTGCTTCAAGCATGATCACCAGCTGCAGCAGGTGCAAACATCTGTAGGTACAGAGGTTGGTCACACTGGTTACTTTCCTAATGTTTTTAGTAAAATAATAAATGGAATCATGTTAAGTCACAGTGTGGATCCCAAAACCAGCAGAAAACCAGGGCACTAGCCAGAGTCATTCTTTCTACCGGAGAAGGCACCCCCTGCCACTGCATGGAACTCCCAGGGCCACTGCCCACCTGCAGCACCTCCAGATCTCCCAGCAACACAGCTGTGCTCAGGGCGCCTCCACCAGTGCAAATCCAAACCCACCCGTGTATCTAAATAGCACATCTCCACTGAAATTCCTCAAGATCTCAGGGTTGAAGACACTGATACAGTTTGGGTAGACGTAGGCTGCAGCAGGGAACAAAACCAAACAAAATCCAAAAAGTAATGAGCAATTAAAATTATCCTAAAATACTTTATTATGCCTTTCTAATTATTTTTCTTTTATATACCTTTCTAATCTGTCTTCTGAACTGTCTTTCCTGTGTGAGTAATCTCCAGCTATATACTAGGCAGCTCAAGTGAGAGATAATGAGGATTTATTTTTTCCTCACTTTTTGCAAAGTCGTGTCTCTGCAGATTTGGGGGCGGAGTTCTTTTGGGAGATGTATGAAAACACTTTTACTGCTACAGATTCAGAAGCTGTTATGATAAATCTAAAGTTTTTTTTTTCCTATTTGATTAAAATTAACATGTAACTAGAATAGACCTGGAAGGAAATTTAAGGTACTACATTTAAAAAATGAAATACAATAGCAGGAATAATGTGCAAATATTTTAGAATTAACCTTTCAGCAATTCAGACTGTTCTTCAAGAAAGTGTCATCCCTGTACATCCCTTAATTATAAATTGTGACATGGCAATTACCCCAGGAAATTGACACAGCCCATGGTAATGAGAAACTACAAATTCACACATATGTAGAGTACTGTAATGCTTTCTAGTAATAGAAACTTTTTATTTCTTTAAATATTTTAAATGAAGATATTTAAGTTGACAAATAAAGATGGAATTTAAAATCAAAGACAGAACTAGATTGCCTTGTCCGGTAAGGTAGCCACTGGCCATGTCTCTATTAAATGTGATTAAAATTTAAAATTGCCTCACCAGCTATGTTTCAAGTGCTTAGTATCCACATGTGGCCCACAGATACCATAAGGGTTTCTTAGAGCCACCATAACAAATGACCATAGCCTAGACAGGGTGGTTTTATAAGTTTTATGTGATTCCTCCCATAGTCTTATAAATCTAAACCCAGATCAAGATGCTTCTTTTAATCAAAAAGAATAAAAAATCAAAGTTTTAAGCACATGCTTTCTCTCTCTCTCTCTCTCTCTATATATATATATATATATATATATTATATATATATATATATATATATATATATACACACACACAAAACTTTAAAGGTTAATAAACTAACTCTCCTTAGTAACAGTTAACTTCCAAATTATAGTCTGGCCACCTCTCAATTTAAAAAGATTTGGACAAGCACATAGAACTGTATCTATCACTGAGCTAAGAGCCTTAAGTTCTGAATTGACAAACCTAAAATGTTGTTTTTCTTGTGTCATGATCAAAAAGCTCCATTAGTTGAGAGATGCTATTCAGACTTACTGAATACTGAATTAACATAGTGGGATGAATTGGACTTCATGAAGTATTCATGAGTTCTCATTTAACGCTAATTAAATTTAAAAAAAGGCCTATGTTAAATGATTCGAAGACCCTGGCTCAGACTGACAAGCATAAAAAATTAAAGTTCAAGGAGAATTCAATCCAAAATCATAGTTGAATTATGCAAGTTAGGAGTACGTTTATGCCTTTTCTTATAATGAATGACTCTAGTTGCAACATTAAAATAAATTTTAAAAATCACTTTTTTGATACTGCATTTAATCAAACTTTAATGATCCTTTGATCATTGAACAAAAAAAATTGTGCCAGTCACTAATCGTTGCTTCATGCATGCCAGACCAGTGAAGGATGCCTCTATCTTTTGAGGGGGCTGAAACACTTACTTTTGAGCACCATTGCAAATGCCACAGAAAGTAAGACCTGCTGCATTCTTTTTTCTTTCTTTCTTTTTAACCAGCACTTTAATTTAGAATTGTCTCTTCATAATACAGAAGAGATGAATTGAGAACACCAAGCTATATGTGTCAAGATTATTTTGGAACTCTAAAAGGCTAAGAATTTGGGAAATAATATATTCAGCAACTTTAAGTTTTGGTCTAATTGAAATAGTTAATGAGAATATTTTCTGAATAGGACAGAAGATACCAACTCTGACAACTACAGAATATAAAAGTCCAAATTAGATTCTCAATGTATGCTAATAATTGAAAAGCTCAAATAGATTAATGACAGTGATATGGGCATCCACATTTTTCAGTAAACCCAATTTAAAGATCCCTGTTTTCTAAAGAAGCAGTAATTCAGACCCTTAATTTGTTTCAAATAACAATTTTTATTATTATTATTATTTTGTGGTGCTGGGGACCGAACCCAGGGCCCTGTGCATGGGAGGAAAGCAGTCCTACCAACTGAGCTGTATCTCCAGCCCCTAAAATAACCTTCTTTTAAACAAGACATTTCATTAGAAATTTTAGAGGTAGGCAAACTTAGAAACAGTATTATAGGCCTCCCAGAAAATAGCTAGCAGAAGAGAGGAGGGGCTCCAAGTCTCAAAAGCTCCACGTTTTCTGAACCTTCAGGTGAAGAGGAAATTCCTGCTGTCCAGTGGGAGGGAAAGGGGCTGGGCAATGAGGGGTGAGAATGATTTCGCCAAGCGTCTTGCCTCGTGTGGCTGCTGTAACAGAACACAACAGACTGGAGGCTTAAAGAGGTAAGCAGCTTAAATTTCTCAGAGCACGGGAGGATGGAAGTTCAAGATTAAGGTGCTGCAGTCTGGTGAGGGCCCATTTTCAGGTTCAAGAGACTTCTTGCTGGGTCCCACATGATGGAAGGGGCAAGGAAACTCTCCAAGGCCCCTTTTATAAGGGGTCTAATCCCATTTACGGGGCTCTGCCCTTGTTACCTAATTACCTCCCATAGCCCCTACCTTCTAAAACCACCACAGTAGAGGTAAAGATTTCAATTCTGTATATGAATTCTGGAGGGGCTCAGATATTCAGTTCTGGGCACCAAGTACTACAAAGAACTGATTAAAACAACTGGTCATGCTGGTGAAATGCAATTCCCACCACTCCTAAGGAGGGCCAGAGTCCTCAGCCCTCCTTCCCAAGGACAACAGGCACTCTGGGATATTGTGCAGGCATCACAATGGCTATACACTTCCTCATTTATTTTCACGTTCACAATATATTAAGATGTCACTATGAATTAAGCAGATGAAAAGTATGAACAATATACATGGTATGATCCCATTTTCTTCAAAAATAAAACAAGACATAGACATGTATTAAGTAACCGTTTGAAAGAATATACACCATAAATGGTGGTCAGTAGTAGTTAGTGATGGGAATAAAAATGATTTCATTTTATTATTCTTTCCTATGGCATCGGGGTGCTTTCTGGTGAACAGGGTCCATTTCGAATCTGAAAAACAATAAAGCTATTTCCATTCTGGAAAAAAAAAATTCAGTTGGAATTAAAACTAATATCTAAGTCACTTAAAAATCAGGTTATTAATAAAGTGATATAATAAAGTGTTGTAATAAACAACCTATTGGGGTCCTCATTATAAAAAGTCAAAACACTAGTAAATGTGTTCCACCTATATGCTGTGGACTATGAAGAACAATTTACCTATGCTTTTGTTTATGAGACATTTTTTAAAACTTCTCTGTCAACTAAACTTTAGAAAATTATAATGGATATGGATAAATCCATCTGGTTAAAACAAAACAAAACATCTAGGTCCTAATTTATCTTGGGGAAATCCAGATATTTTGCTTAAAGTGAGATTTACTTTATTCCTGAGAAAGGAATCCACCATACTTTGATTTAGGTAATGAAATAGTCTGGAACTCCAATTACTGAAAATTACATTTTATAATTCATATAGCCAATACATTACCTCCGTTGTCTGTGTATGTTCTTTGCAGGCAAAATGTAGTCAAGATTTTAAAAAATGAAAACATGTTTTTTAAGTAAAGAAAAGTACCACTGCACATAGAAACAGCTTTATTTTTTCCACTCAAGCTTTATCAAATGGATTGTTCAAAAAGCATATACATGAGCAAAAATATCACATGCAATCAAAATTGTTTTGCCTTACAGTCACTGGTTTTCTGTAGGAAAAGAACACTCATTTGAATAACTTGTAATTCAAATATTTCCCAACTGTTTCCACTTCATTTCTTTCCTTTTTAACTTAGCAACAATAGATACATTTTAGTTAACTGTTCATATTCTCTTTTATTCATATTGAAATAATACAATGTCTAAAAAAATCAAACCATTTTTTATTCAGAAATACGGAAAGGTTCTTTTGCATAATAGGCTCTGATATATTAAGAAATCAAATGAAACTATTAATTGCAAAACGGATGAGAAGTATAAGCTAGAAAACATAAACAGTAATAATTTCTTTCCTAAATAAATTCAATCAAATGAATAATATATTCATCTGATAACAATTGCTACCTTTAGAATACAAAAAGTGCTCAGATTACATTTAACAAGAAAATGAAAATCTCATAGAACTGAAATATTTTCAATAATGCTAGTGGCATGGGGAATTGAAATTGTAACTCTGCTCCCAAGGCAGGAGGCAGGTGTGAATTTATCTGAAATTGGGACACTAAAACACTATGACTGTAAATGATACCCACTATTTTGGTAAGGTTCACCTGTGTCTTCCTTTAGATGAAAGCCATCAACATAAAAGCAGGCCTCTAGGCTGCTCCTCAACTGACATGGCAGGGTCACTTCCCTCAACGGTCCTTTCCTAGCCCACCACCACCATTTGCTCAGTGAGGCTTCAAAACCACCAGCCTGTGCCTTGGAGACTCCAGGACTCCTGGGTCGAGCACATTCTCCTCTCTCAAAACACATACTCATCGATGCAGCAACCAAGTAGAAGCATTTTTAAGCCTATGTCTCTCTGAAGCTAACTTAGAACACCAGGCAGACAGGGTGCAATCTGATCTGGAAATTTCTCTCACATTTCAGACATATCCCTAAATTATTACTCTTGAACCAAAACTGCATGTAGACCATAATTTTATTTATATAAATAGGTATGTATGTGTGTACAGCAGACTTCTTTTTCTTTCTCTGGGTATGGCAGAATTTTAGATTACTTTTACTTTCTTTTCCTCAATATATTAATTGCTTACAGTATCATTTCTATTTTTAAGAGATCCATATAGTAAAGATATCTTCATTTTAGAGGGAAAAGAAAAAAAGTTCTACTAATTCTGAATGTAGTTCCACCGTAGTCTCTAAAATGCTTTTGGAAGCTATTTTGTGGATCAAATTTTCAGAAGAAGGTAGAATTTTTGTGATCAGAGAAAATGGCTTTCTTCAGTCCACCATCTCCAGTTAGCAAGGTACCCAAGAAACAGCAGTTTGAACTCTTTCTCTCTCTCTCTCTCTCTCTCACACACACACACACACGTACAATTTACATGGATACTGAATTTGTAGACATTTGATTTTTAAAACCCTTGTTTTGTGATCTTTTTATTCTAACTACCTGAAGGTTACTGTTCAAGGTTTTGTTGAAATTCAGTGCATCTTGGGAGAAAAATTTAAAATCAGTAATGAGATTCAAGCTACTAAGTTTTATTGCATGGCTTTTTAAAAGATCAATCAATAGAAAACAGAAAAATGGACAAAATGGGGACTGAAAAAGGTTGGGTGGCAGAGCAACTGGCAAAAGAGGGACCAGCTGAGAGAGTGTCCAGGAAACAGCCCTCCCTGTCCATCCTGTTTCAAGGAACTACCTCCATTCTTCTCCTGTGCCCAGCCCAGTGCCCACCACCTGTACAGCAGGCATCTGCTGAATGGGTGGAGGCTCAACAAGAGTGAGAGGGAAAGAGGGGCTTCCCTCTGCTCTGAAGTACCAAGGGCAGTACCCATTCTCCATTCTCAATCAAAGGGCCAGAAAAGGAACACAGAGGTCAGAGTGACTCCTGGTGATTAAAAGTGATCTGTGGAATAGTTATGAAAGTAATCAGATATTAACCAGTCATCAATAACCAAAGACAAGTGTCCTGAGTTCTAAGGATGGAAAATTAGTGCCTATTTCCTTTGGATGAGGCTTAGAATCAAGGCAGGAGTTAAATTTCTTTAAATACTCTGTTTCTTAGATTTTTAGAAATAAAGCAAATAATATATCACTAAGGTAATTACATATTTTATTGTCCAAACTTCTGAGAGTAAAAGAGAACAAGTAACAATTATTCTAGGGAAAAAATTATGCCAAGATGACAGACGAACAGGACCAATTAGAACATGAGATCTCGCACAGGTCTGCGTTTCCCCTTTCAGCTTCTGCTGGGCCCCACAAGTAGAGGCTGGCAGTCATTGTACACTGAACACTGAGTGACAGCACGTTCTATTCTCCAGAGAGAAAACATTTTCCACCTTCCTCCCACACTTAAGGCTCCCCCATCATAAATGCCACTGGATCCGAGGAAAGAGAAGTTGGAATTTCTCTATCCGAACACAAACGGCACAAGGGTGACTGAATCACTTCCCACAATGTTAATTACTGAAGTTGAGCATATTTTGCTCAAGAAACAAACTTACAAAATGAAAAACCTCAATTATGAGGCTAGGTCATAACTTATTTTCAAAATCTTTATATTAACTATGAGATTCTCACAAATACATTGCCACAAAATATTTTAGAAAAGCCACAAGATAGACAAAATGGGAAAGTCTGGTTCCGGACGACAGCAGGTGTCCTGCAGCTCAGGCACCCAGGCAGGTGTGCGGCCCTCAGCTTCTGAACAGGAGCATCCTCTCAGCGCACGCCTGCCCCACCAGGCTCGCGTACTGCAGCACCGCAGCCTCCTCGCTGGGGTCCTTCTGGCTTTTCTTGTAAACACCGTAAGGCATGATGGCTTTCTTGTGGAACACCTGCAGTCGGTCGGGCTCCTTGCTGCGACCCTCATCCACTGCAATGACAGAGAGTGCGGGTTAAAAGCAGCCACATATCAGCTGTGCTCCTTTCCCAAGTTCAGAGTTGGAATACACAGCCAGGTGCCGGCAGGCCCTCCCTGATGCCAGGGGATGCAGCACTGACACACAGACTAACTCCAATGAATGACAAGGCTGTCCCAAAGACAATGGAGGTCCTCCAGGGTGACAGCTAAAATGTCAGGGAGAGACAGTTCTTTGTGTAACTGAAAAACAGGCCTTCTACGCCTCCGTGGTTTCCTGGGGACCGAACCCAGGGCCCTGTGCACGCACCTCCAGCATCGTCCCAGAGTGGTCTTAAATCTGCTGAGCCTCTCCCTGGGGTCAACACACTGTCCTACTTGTCATGGGTACTCCTGTGCCCCTGGGAGGGCCGGTTCTCATGGCTTCTGTGGAAGACACCAGGGGCTGCTGCTGTCCCCCTTCCTCTCATCCTCTAGTCTGGATCAGGCACACAGGCCATGCGGGGGGAAACCTGCTCCCCAGGCTTCCCTGCAGCTGGATGGCCTGATGACCAAGTGCTGGCCAATGTGGTTATACAAGTGAAAATGTTTTGAGGGAGTTTCAAGAAATTTTACAAAAAATAGTAGCTGGCCTATGCCTTTTGACTCTTTCATTTTTTAACCTTTCCTTCAGCCTGTATCCTGGAACACAGACGTAATGGCAGGAACCCTAACTTCTCTTCTGCCTTAAAGCTGGAGGCTAAGAGCTCCAAGGCAGAAGTTACCCTCGGTTTAGCAAAACAGAAGCTAGAAGCTGGGTAACACAGGATGTCTTGGAACAAAAGTGGCATGCCATCCCTGGGCTACCTATGTTCAGGTGCTTATAAAAAAAAAAAAAAATCAGGAGGGTGTAGTCACACATGCCTGCAATCCCAGCTACACAGGATGCTGAAGGAGGAGGATCACAAGTGCAAGTTCAAGGCCAACCTTGGGAACTAAGTGAAATCTGTCTCAAAATAAAATTTTAAGAAAAGGCCAGTAATGTAGCTCCATGGTTTTTAAGCATGTGCAAAACCTTGGTTTTAATCATAGTACAGCAGAAAAAAAAAAATCTGTAAACTATCTTATTTCAGCCAACAGTATTTTAGGTTTCTATAATTAGAGTTCTTCCTAACCCTAATATGAAGAAAAACTTACAATATCCACTAAAATGTGTAGTGTGTGTGTGTTACTAGAGATTAAACCCAGGGCCTCGCACGTGCTAAGCAGGTGTCCTACCAGGGAGTCTGATCCATACTACTTCTAAAATTTTTATTTTGAGAAAGGGTCTTGCTAAGTTGCCAAGCTGGCCTAGAATTTGTACTCTTCCTACCACAGCCTCCCATGTAGCTCAGATTACTGCACCAAGATTAAAATATTAAAAAAAAAAAAAAGAAATCATTGATTCAGCAAGTCTACTTTCTAAGCTTGACTTCATTTGGAATCATCCAAGGAACTTTTAAAAAATACCAACATATCTCTGGATCCCCTCACCAGAGGTGCTGATTTAAAGAATAGTCTCAGTGGAACTTGAATATCAGTGTTTTTTTTTTTTTTTAACTCATTTTCAAGTTAGTTGAGAAGCACTGTCCTTCAGAAATACCCACCCAAGTGTGTCTATGTGTGAGGATGCTCCCAACAGCACTCTGAAACCTGGCAACCTCTCAAAGTCCAGCAGTGAGGCCCTGGTTAAGAGCTGAGGTGCACCCACTAATGGAACATTACCCAGCTATTAAAGAGAACAGAAGATAGACTAAGGAGAAAAAAAAAAAAAGTAGGCACAGAACAATAATTCCTTTTAATTAAAAGCTTAGTGCTGGCTGAGTGTCACTTATCCAAAATGCTTGGATACAGAAATGTTTCAGATTCTGTAATTTGGAATATTTTGCATATACATAATGAGCTATTTTAGGGAAAAACAAAACATGAAATTCATTTATACTTTATAAACATAGCCTGAAAATAACTTTACACAGTATTTTTAGTGTGATGTCTGGGTTTTGACTGACCTGTCACAAGATCAGGTGTTGGATTTGTAACAGAAGTAACAACTTTTAAAAGTTTATTCTTTTTCAACTATTGTATTAATCAGGAGAAATCTTCCCAGATCAGCTGCACAAGAGACCAAGTCAGGCCTTCCCATACAACACCACCCTTTATGAATGTTGAGAGCCTGTAGCAGGAAACTCAAGTTAGGCAGGTATGACTGGTCCAAAAGATACAACATGTTGGAGAAGTCCACATTCCTCCACTTAGAACCAGCCTGGGAGGGCATGATGACCAAGAGAAAGGACACCAAGGGCTGGCCAGAGATCCCCATGTCCATAAGACCTAGTGCCAGAGCAGTGTCCGAGTTTCACGTTGGGCTGGGACATAGTCAAAGAAGATCAAGGGAGTGGACTGGCCAGAGGTGGCCTTCTGAGTCTGCTGTCTCCTCCTGGCCTGCCTGCTTCAGCCTGCTCTGCAGGAGGTTAACTCTGCAGGTCAGTCCAGCCAGCGCTGGGGACCGTGCTCGAGGGCCGTTCACCCTGAAACTCTCTCCTTGGTTCTGCTTTTTGGTAGCAGCTGCGGCTGCTTTGAAAGGGCCCTTTCTCTCCAGCCTGGCTGGCAGTGGCCTCCTGTAGTTGCTACCCTTCAGGTCACTTCTCAAGACTGTCAGCAACACCACTGCTCATTACCAACAATCCCCTGCATTATATTTTCTTCACTGTAAATACTTGAAGTAGTTTTGGGGTTTTGGTTAGAGCCTGATACTCATGCCAATTTCAAAATATGTTTTGTTTCTTACAAATTGCTTTATTATCCAACTGAAGCAGAAAACCCATGTACTTTACAGCAATTAAATATTTAACATCCACCAGGTCAGCACATCCTCCCAGGTGCTGTGGTTTGAATACAGTTTGTCCCCTCCAAAACACAGACTAACACCAACCCTCCTGAGAGGGATTAGGAGGGGAAATGCAATCCAACTAAGGTGTTCAGAGGTGGAGCCCTTGGGAGGTGCTTAGGGACAGACAGGGTCATCAGGCTGGGGTACCCAGGATTGAGTGCTGGTGGTTTTTACAAGAAGTGGGAGAGACCAGAGGCCACACTTGCACCCCCCTGGTCTCTTGCAACATGATGCTATGCGCTACCGCAGGAGCCGCCACCAACCAGCCTCCTCCAGAAGCAGCCTACTGACCTCGGACTTCCAGAACCTAGAGCCCAAATAAACCTCTTTTCTCTATGACTCTATGACTTATCAGGTCTGTGGTATTGTTATCAGCAACTGAAAAACTAAGATACCAAGGTTTAATGACAAAGGAAAAGGCACACCCTGGTTGCTGCTATCAACTTCGATTTTAATGTATGCTCTGCCACAGGGATAAACTTCTTCCTGATCACCTGCCTCTAAATGTTTCTAGCTAGAAAAAGGCAAATTCAGAACCTGATCCAAATAGAAAGCAAGGATCAGAGAGAAAAGCAGGGAAAGAACATGAGCAAAATAATCCCAAATCTTTTAAATGTAAAACTTTGGATTTTTAAAATTTGAGTTTGTCGTGTTTGGATAAGAGGTGTCCCCAGAAAACTCAAGTGAAACAGTGCAGGGATGTCCAGAGGTGAGATGACTAGGTTAGGGGAGCTGGGATCTACTCAGTGGATTCATCCATCTGACAGATGAATAACTTGAGTGAATAATGTGGTGAGTAGAGGGAGCCGGGCATGGCTGCAGCAAGCAGGTCACTGGAGTCTGCCCCTGCCCTGGGGATTGTGTTATCCCAGGCTCCTTGCACCACAGCTCTCCCTCTGCTTCCTGACTGCCACCAGAGCTGACAGCTTCCTTCCACCAAGCCCTTCTGCCATGATGCTCTGCCTCACGTTGGGCCCAGAGCTACAGAATTGGATGACTGTGGACTGAATCTCTAAAACCATGAGCCAAAATAACTTTCTCCTCCTCTGAGTTGTTCCTCCTAGGTCTTCTAGTCATGAAAAGCTGACTTAAAACAGTTTTAAAAGCATGCCTATATTAAAGTTAAACCTTCATCCTAAATCATCTAAAATAATTTAGAACAGACAGACATACTTTACGAACCAAACAAAACACCTAGCAAATAAAAAAGTGAGATTTGATGTTACCTTATTTTATCTAGAATGGTATACTACCCTCCAATTTTTATTCTTTCCCCTACAACATATAAACATAAAATGTAGAACTGGAGGGGGGGACTACCACTACTATAATTTACACTAACTTTTAAAAATTGTATTCTATGTTGGAAAGTAGAAATTTTATTGCTTCATTTCTCAAAATATGAATTTTGATTCATTTACTGAGATCACATGACAAGTTCTAAAATTATATATATAGGTCACATTTTTGGGAACCTATAATATCTTAAGTTTTGGTTACCGTATACACCCAAGAAAGTCTCCTAAACTTCTAAACTAATTCACAGCATTTTTACAGAGATTTGTGGCACAGAAATTAATCAAGCTCTTTCTACTTAGTTCTTTTTACTGCAAATAATTTTGAGGTCTGGAGTGATTCAGTAACAATGGAGTCAATACGTGGTGCAATTAAAGCAGATGCTAGCAAGTTACTAACTTTTTTTTTTCTTTTTTAGAGAGAGAGAATTTTAATATTTATTTTTTAGTTTTCAGCGGACACAACATCTTTGTTTGTACGTGGTGCTGAGGATCGAACCCGGGCCGCACACATGCCAGGCGAGAGCGCTACCGCTTGAGCCACATCCCCAGCCCAAGTTACTTCTTAACATCAAATATAATTATAAAAAAGTAGTACTAATAAATTTTAAAATCCTTTCCTCATTCTCTTTAATACTAATGTATCCAAGTCATTTGGAAACCCAGATATATTTAGTTTTAGTGTTCAGATATTTCAGAAGCTTGTGGGATTGTTATTGGCCTTATTTAACATTCCTAATAATGTAGTACTGACTCTATCAACAATGAACCAGATTGTGTTGAGACTTACATTTTTTATTAATTTACTGAAA